GTTCGACTTGTTGACATATTTGTTGGTTGTACACTGCAAGGTGAATCTGGTCACTCGGATAACCGGAACTACTTGTGTCAGCCGACTTCAGGTTCGTCCTGTACCGTATGGTCTATGCAATAAATCCAAGTTCATCTTGTACCAGATCCCAAAATGAGGCTGATGGCACAGATAAAAATTTTGGTCCATTGTGGTTAAAATAAAACTCACATTTCTATCGCGTCCAGACCGGCCGCTCGCATTTTTTCCAATCGATCGTCCCAATATTCGACCGGGATTCGGAAGTAGTGTATACTGCCGGAAATGTATTGGAACGGTTTTCCATCTTTGCGAAAGATTTTTTGTTCCTTATCGACCACGAATGATCTGATCACGGGTGGCTCGCCAAACCACCATTGACGCAACTTTTCCCAACCGGGCACAGCGGTAACCAGTGCGAATTGCAAAATGAACACGGTAAGCACGAGTGTACCCAAGCGGAAGTTTGAGCGCATTGTTTCTGTGGTCGACGGAGAGGGGAGAGATAGAAAGAAAATGGATATGACGAGTGTGAAATGAGCAGTGCCTCTTTTTGAAATGAAGGTATTCTATTTGCAGGACTAAATAATCCCCTATATCAATTTGAAATGCACTCGGTTTTGCCACTTTAGTTGTTCTGCGTCATGGGCACCATTTATCGCCGGGAAAGGAGCTCTTTTTCATTAGGTGTTTGGAAATATATCGACACAATATTATGCTTTTGTTCTTATCATCACCACATCTAACCAGGGCTAGCGTTTTAGTTCCACAATTACCCTCTTACGTTTTTGTCTTTTTTATTGCTCGACAGCCTGTAATTGATCGCACCTTGTTTCTATTCAAGCTTCACTGCAGTTTGTGGTTGAAGGAGGAGAAAAGCAGTTTCAGACAAAAACATTCCTCTCAATCTTTAAGAGTTCGTTTATGGTGAAATGTGCCGATCTGAATATCCGGAACAGTAACGCGACTTGACTTGATTTGCTGTACATGTTGCTCTGTATGAGTAATACTGTGATTTGTGGGACGATTGTGCTGATCAACCAGAAAAGACTCCTACACACGTATTTCAAAATTTGGAAGAATAGGATTACAATGATAGTTGCAATACGCATAAGAATATTGAACGATTCAGGTAACACCTTGCTCCAAAGCCATATTCTTAGCTCAAGGTGTCAAGTAGAGATGGGATTTTCGTTATTCAATGTGCTGCTGGATGAGAACAACGTCAAATGTAAAATATTTTTGTGGGAGTGGGATACTAAACACAGGTATAAACAATATTTGTACCGGGGATATGGAGCTAACCCGTGGGTTCCCTCCCGAAAGGTGTCACATTGAATGTTTGTACTCGAATGTCACATGTTTTGATGGAAACCGTCCCGTAGACCACTAACCGTAAGATGTGCAATGAAGCACTAACATTCTCAGAGAAGATTGTATTGGTTCCCACTATTGCACAACGACTAGGCAGACAAACTGGATGCTCTTTCGCAACCACAGCTTACTATACCATTTCAAGATAGCTTTGAGAAACTATAATTTTCATTTGCGAAACCGTCAGT